GGTGTTTGCTTTGCGTTTTGCACTACCGTCAATCATTACCCGGTACCCGCTATACGTCACGCCAAGTACATCGTTACATTTGGTGACCGACGACCGGAAGCAACACACTGGCCACAAAACGAGAGACAGTCGCAGTACACACTGATCTCGAGTCGGGTTTCGGCGAAAATACAAGATTTTCACCGCTCATTATCTCAGCGTAGGAGCATCGTAGGAACAAGCGGTTTGTTTTATATTAACAAGGTATGACAGCTGATCAATAATACCACAAAGAATCTTGTTTGTGGAGAAAGTTTATTAATTCGACTAATACTGCAACATGGTTTCAGCATTTCACCGTTGTACGCTAGCTCTCTTTATACGCTTTTGTTAATATCTATTTAATATTCTTACATTAATAATATAGGCCTATAGTTAATCAAATTTTTCATCAATGGTTAGATTTGAATTGAATCGCAGCATTTTAACCTGTGACGTTAGTCTGAACCGTGCTCGTTTGTGTGTGAGTGTGTGTGTGTGTGGGTGTGGGCGTGGGTGTGTGTGTGTATGTGTGTATGTATGTGTGTGTGTGTGTGTGCGTGTATGTGTTCGTCTGCGTCTTCGTCTGCGTCTCGGCAGTCTTCGGGATCGGTTTCATTCAATGCTCGAACGAATTCGCCGTTGTCGAAGTATCGGAAATCCTCGTACCAGGTGGCGTTGGAGGCGAGCTCGCTTAGTTCGGTGGTGCTGTCCGTAAACATGGTGTCAGTGGTATAGTACGGCGATCCGTACAGCTGGAATTCACCTGAGTCTTTGGTGGTAGCTACAGAAATCGAATATTAGAATCGAAGTTAATTAACTATCGTGCAAACACCGTGTATAGGTAATTAGGATTTACCATGCAGGTAAGTAGGCTAGTGTTTAAAATTAGGCATAAAACGCACCAACTCAGAATAAATGTAAACTCAGAGCGGGGTGTTAAATTTGTCACCGCATGAGCATTAAACGTTAGTAAAAGCAGGGGGAGGGAAGTCTATGCTAGGTTTTTCATGTAAAAAATGTGCCATTTCCCAGATCCCGGTTAATTAAAATCGCAGTTCCGTTTTGAGGTTTCCGGTTGACGTCTATCCTCAAATCATTATTAATTCATCAGGTATTTCCTGCTTCCCAGATGTGATCCAATCCCAGAGAAACGACCGTTCCCACCCTCACAGTTAACCTTCGCCGAGTGTCGCGCCGTAGGAATCTAACAGTTTCTCTTGATCTGTTCATCAACATTACTTGGGATGCTTCCACGGCACGCTGAAGCTGCCCTCAAAGCAGGTGCAGCAAATAATGTAGGCGGGAAAAGGAGGGTGGCGTATGTGGAGCTAAGAAGCACCAGCTTATGTGACAGTGGCAAGCTGCGCTTATAACAGGTGAAGGATGTGGGCGGAGAGAGGGAAACGTTACATGCGTGGAGCATCAGGCGGGAAGCATCAGGCTTTGTGACAGCAGCAAGCTGTGCTTACTGTAGTAGTAGTCGTGCGCCGTCTTCAGCAGATCTATCATGATCCACCTGTCTTCGTACGACTTCTGATCAAACGTCAGCAGGCGATTGCTCGGCGTCACACCGGCGTTGCAATCAGCACCCGTATCTCTGACGCCGCCGTCCCTAGATGTAAGCATATACCAGTAAGTTAGTGCTTCGACGAGTGAGTCGACAAGTATTGAGCGCGCCATCTTGAAATTTTCTGCGTTCCGCGGTGAAAGCATTGCCCAAGATAACAGCATACCGGCAAAGGTACTTGTAGTCGCTTTTAATCAAATTCTTTGCCCAATCATCTTGGTTTCTGCCATCGACGTTCTCGTCGACTGTCGTGTCCTTGAGGAAAGCTACATCGCACGCATCCTCGACCAGTCCCCTATGAACGTAAACCGTATTGGTTGTGTCACAAGCTGTCAAACGCTTGCCTCACGGTTATTCAGTGCATGCATTTACGTGCGTGTATGCGCCTGTGTAGGATGAAAGAGAAGGAGTGGGAAAGAAAACGATGAAAACGATGATAAAGAAGACAGAGAGAAAGAGAGAGAGAGAAAGAGAGAAAGAGAGAGAGAAGGGAAAAGTATACAGATGAATGCATGTACTTAGGAAGAATACCATATTCATACATTTTTAGCAAGACTTCCATTTCATAGCAGTTAAAGCGAAAAAATGTACATACTTGAAGGAATGCATAAAAAAATTACCCAACAAACCTTGGGGCAGATCTACAGTAATGTAGCGACCGATAATCGACGTTGATTTATCAATTGGAATTTGGCACCTCCGTGAACGCGTAGTGTGCGTCAATTAATAATCATTATGTATACACACATTCGTACGGACGACCCCAGAAATCGCGATAGTCTTACCTGAAAGCACCAGCAAAGCCGAAATACTGCTCGTCATGGGTCATCATGCCTCCGTTGAGGCAATGATTGACCAGATTTCCGTTGGTCGCTCCCGGTACGCAGCCGCCGGAGAAGAAGGCGGCCATCTTCTCGTCTAGCTGGCAGTCAGGGAGGCTGAAGTGTCCCACGTCTCTCAGCAGTCTTCCCGGCTGCAGCCAGCCCGCAGCACTGCCAATGAACGGCGCGCAGACCTTCTTATCTGCGACAACGCAAGGGTAAGTATTGAGACGGGCTGACAACTACGCAATAAACGCGAGATCAAGAATGGTCACGAAATGACGAGAAATTCGTGAATGACAGCATTAGCCTGCAGATGGACAAACGAATTGAAACGAAACAATCGAAACAAAACAATAAAAAAATTCGCATAGACGCATCGAAAACGCCCGTCGCTAGAGTATTCGCGATGAAAGGGACTCACTCTTTAACTCCTGAATGTTGAAATTGCCCGATCTGGTCGACTTACTCACTCACTCACTCACTCACTCACTCACTCACTCACTCACTCACTCACTCACTCACTCACTCACTCACTCGCTCACTCACACGTACATTTACTCACTCACTCACTCACTCACTCACTCACTCACTCACTCACTCACTCACTCACTCACTCACTCACTCATTCACTCACTCACTCACTCACTCACTTACTCCCTTACTCACTCACTCACTCACTCACTCACTCACTCACTCACTCACTCACTCACTCACTCACTCACTCACTCATTCACTCACTCACTCATTCACTCACTCCCTTAATCACTCGCTCACTCACACGTACACTCACTCACTCACTCACTCACTCACTCACTCACTCACTCACTCACTCACTCACCCACTCACTCACTCACTTAATCACCTGCTCGCTCTTTCTTTCGCGCATACCCTTTCTTTATCATCTCTCTCTCAATTTCACTCTCTCTTTCATCTCTCTCTCTCTCTCTCTCTCTCTCTCTCTCGCGCGCGCGCGCTCTCTCTCTCTCCCTCTCTCTCCCTCTCTTCCCCACCCCTTCTCTATCGTTCCCTCTCTCTCCCTCTCCCCTCTCTCTCTCCCTCTCTCTCCCTCTCCCCCTCTCTCTCTCCCTTTCTCTCCCTCTCTCTCCCTCTCTCTCCCCTCTCTCTCTCTTTCTTTCTCACTCTCCCCGATCGGCCCGGCAATTTATGATGGTGCAGGATGGCCGAGGGGGCGGTGTTTTGGTAATGGCAAAACCCAGCGACAATGGCAACGGCCGATATGCGGTCGCCGTATATACGCGCGGTTCGGCGGCGGGAAACTGGTCCCATATAGGTCACCGTGATCCATTATCTGTCACCGCGGCCCGTCGGCGCGTGCAATATTCGCCCATATAAAAGTGATTTGTCATGCGAGTCTCCATGTCGACATGTCAAGCGCTGACGTGTCCACCCCGCAGCAACAGCGGCAACAGCAGCAACAGCAACTATGGCACCAGTAACAGCAGCAATTAACAGCAATAGTAGCAGTAGCAGTAGCAGTAGTAGTAGCAGTAGCAGCAGAGCAATTAGTCTAATTAATTTGCAAATATCCACGCGCGTAAAAAATATTATACATAATATACGGCAATTCAAAACATTCTATAATAATTCTATAATTCTATAATAATAATTCTATAATTCTATAAATATTTCTATAATTCTATAATTCTTACCCCTGAATCTCTGTGAATTTTGAGTCTATTGAAGCGCGATTAGTCTAATTAATTTGCAAATATCCACGCGCGTAAAAAATATTATACATAATCTACGGCAATTCAAAACATGAAAATTTAATTTCCTTAAATTTCCTGAACTTCTACAATTTCCTTCAAAAATTCCTTTAAAATGGTGGAAAATCACAAGCAATTTCTGGAAAATTCCCTCTGAAAGTGGAAGCACTGCCTACACTGTATTTTCTTCGAGTTACAACATAGTACATATACCATTATGGTCACTGAGCATGTTGTAATCAAAGGGGTATTCATTGCAGATGCCATTTGCAGTCAGTGTATGCTGAAGAAAAAACTGTAGTGACAATTTCCGCAAATTCTTATATTCCAATCAAAGGATATGAATTTTCAACGTTTTCATTAATTCCTATTGCTGGTGCAAGCAACTCTCCATTTCTTTTCTACATGTACACAGATTCTTACTGATTCTCTTCTCCTGGATATTAACTGAGCTTGCTTCGTGTAATGGACCGCAATGTAAAACAAGCTTTTACAGATGTAGCTGTGCTGTCCAGAGTGCTGATCAGCGAGCAAGGCAGCATAATGTACTGGCCAGGGAAACAGCACAGCAACAACAACTTCGGCAGGCAACAGAAAGACAGAGAAGGCGACATACCAGGTATACAGAGACAACACAGCACAGAGAACAGCGTCAGGTACAAAATACAGAAAGACAGCGTCAGACAAGATGTACACAGACAACAGAGGAAAGAGAACTGCAACTTCAAGCCCAACGTCAAAGAGACAGGACACAAAAGACACTAAAAGCAATACGTTCTAACAAAAAATTGGGTGTTATAAAAAACACTCAGTATTTTATGGAGGATGAATTTTTCATTACCCAATGTCACCATGAACAACCATGTTTGTATAACGCTGGAAATAAATGTGAATTTTGCAGTGCCTACCGCTGGAAAGAAGAGAGAAACGGGGTTTGTTGTGAAAATGGAAAGATCAAGTTGCCCGTTGCACCACCAGCTCCACATGAAATACAACAGATTTATAAGGCTAGTCGATCAACAGTCCTTCACAACCTGCGGTCATACAACAATGCCCTAGCTTTAGCTTCACTCGGATGTAGTCAACAAAGCATGCCTGGATTCAGTCCCACTTTCAAAATTCAGGGAAAAGTCTACCACAGAATTGGTTCCCTAATGCCAACAGATGGAGATCACCCAAAATTTGCCCAAATCTATTTCCATGATACAGAGCATGAGCTGCAAAACAGACTGCATCACAATTCACATTTACATCCTGATGTTCTGACTTCTCTCCAGAACTGCCTGCACAGAGTCAATCCCCATGTCCTTTCTTTCAAATCAGCAATTGAGTTTGCAGATAACCATCCTGAGGCAAAGCTGGTGCTCAGTGCTGAAAAGAAACCATCCAGTGAACATGCCCGGCGCTACAATTTACCTACAAGCTGTGAAGTGGCAGTCATCATGCCAGGTGAACAAGGATATCATAACGATGTCATCCTACAAACAAGAGGTGGTCACATACAAAGAATCAATTCAACGCACCGTAGTTATGACCCACTGCACTACATACTGCTGTTTTCACATGGAACAGATGGATATAGGGTAAACATCCAACATGCTTTGGGCCCAGGCCACATTTCCCCCACACAATTTTACAAGTACAAACTCCAAATACGTTCCAACACAGACAACTTCATCATGAAATCTAGGCGACTCACACAACAATATGCAACAGATGCCTTTGCTAAGGCTGAATCTCAGCGTCTGAGATGGGTTCGAAACAATCAAAGTACTATCAGAGCCGATAAATACAAAGGATTGTTGGATGCTGTCAATGACAATGATGAAATGAGAGCTGGAGTGAAGGTCATCCTCCCACCCACATTCTATGGTAGCCCACGTTGGTATGCAGAAGCATTTCAGGATGCAATGGCTATAGTGAGGAAGTTTAGAAAGCCTGATTTCTTTATTACCTTTACTTGCAACCCACGCTGGCCTGAAATCAACGCGTCTCTCTTTGATGGTCAACATCAAGCTCCAATCTCTGCTTTGTGACTTGGTGAAAAACGATGTTCTCGGAAAGGTCAGAGCCTACACTGCAATGAAGGAAGATCAGAAAAGAGGCCTTCCTCACTGTCACATCTTACTGATCATGTATGATGCTGACAAACCAAGGACGCCATCAGACATCAACAAAATGATCTCTGCAGAAATACCAGATCCACTAGCAAATCCCAGACTATACGCTATAGTCACAAGGCACATGATCCATGGCCCTTGTGGCCAAGTCACTCCAAACAGCCCATGCATGGATACTACAGATCGAGACAAGGTCTGCCAAAAAAACTTCCCCAAACAGTACTGTTGTTACTGATGACACTTACCCACACTACAGAAGAATATCACAAGAACATGGTGGTCAGACACATGGATTGAAGGTCACACGACAAAAGTTCACAGCAGACAACCGCTGGATTGTGCCATATAACCCATTCCTGAGTCTAAAGTACAATGCGCACATCAATGTAGAAGTTGTCATCAGTGTCAGCTGTGTCAAATATTTGTACAAGTACACTTGCAAAGGCTCAGACCGAGTCATGGTAAGGCTGGCAAATGGACAAGAAAAGGACATCACAAACGATGAAATAGAGAGATATGTAACGGCCCGATATGTTGGTGCTTCAGAAGCATATTGGCGTCTGTACGAGTTCAATATTTTGAACAAATACCCACCAGTCACCAAGCTTCCACTTCACCTGGAAGATGAACAAACTGTTCTCTTTCAGCCACACCGGGCACAGGAAGTTGCCAATAAACCACCCCGAAAGACAAAGCTGACAGCTTATTTTCAACAGAATGCTACAGATCCACTTGCTGAAGCCATTCTGTATCCAGATATCTGTCGCCAATACATTTGGAAAAGCAGCAAATGGGTGAAACAATAAAGAAAAGTCAAGAAAACCCAGCAAGAGCACGGCAATGACAAGGGATGGTCCGACATAAGGCAGTCACGGTGCGGATGAGAAACCTAGTAGGCCGTAGTAAAACGGGGTGAACGCAACAAAACGTGGCAGTACGTAATATAGGTCGTAACAAAACTTGGAGGCGGTCCGTAGTGGGGCGTGCTACGCGTTGGCTACGGGCCCGGCGCGTTGCGTTCTACTACAGTCTGACACGGCGCGTGCGGTCTGGGAGGAAGTATGTAAAAGCCGGGCCAGGCAGGGGAGTTTCATTCAAATTCAATCGACGACACATTACTGCATCTACAATACGAAGAGAGAAGACAAAGCTTTGAAGAAAAAAGGCCAAGCTAAGCCACCGAAGAAGCCAAGACGTACAAAGGCCCCCCGCCCTGCACCACCACCACCAGAGAAGCAGGAGCAGCCTGAAGATCCTCGCCGTTCACCGCCGCCAGATCAAGAAGAGGAGCGTGCTGCTGCTGCTGCTGACCCGGTCCCTGAACTGAAACCTCAGGATACAATGATTGCTAT